CTTAATCAAAGAATCACAGAGATGAAAGGGAATTCAGTAAGGTAGCGACAGTACTATGTGCTACCAAACACCTAGTCAGGGGGAACTAAAGAAAGGAATTTTCTTAACAAGGAAGTGGAAAACCCGGTGGCAATCTGGCTTGGTGTGGCACAGAAAGAAAACTGCAACCTTTGCTCGCACCTCCTCTGCCCCAGGAAGGGGGGAGGACGCAGCAGTCATCTTCAATAATTTTCAGATAGGGACATGACATCCCAACTGAAAATAAGAGATAAAAGATACATGCTACATGCAGGCTATTGCAGCCGTCAAGAAACTGTGTTGTTAAGCATAAACTTCAGGGTGTCTTTTGTTATATTAGGTTTGGAGGTGGTTTTTTGTTCCATTTTCCATTATTTACAAATCTGTCTTTTCAACTTTTGTACAACCTTGAACCTTGGCAAGCGATGCAGCATTCCTCATGCCAGACGTGGTGGATCTCAAAAGCACAGTTTGCAACATCTTTCCCACAGCCCAGCTCCAGATTAGGTTTCTACCCCAGTACCCAAAGCGTACAGCTGCCAGTTCAGGTTAGTTTGAAAGCTAATATTGCAGGGGTGAGGGAAGAAGAAGAGTCTTACTGACTCTTGTCTTCCAAGAGTCAGTAATATCTAGATAAATTCCCTGTATGAAGAAAGGTCGTAGAAAACATATGTAATCCCTATGGTTATTTGCAGCTGTGGTAGCAACAGAAGTGTAATCAGAACAGAATAAATGCCCTGTATATGTAAAGCAGAATTCATCCTAAAAAAAAAAAAAAAAGAAAAAAACAGAAAAATTGAATTAGGTGTGGGGTGGAAAGTGGCACACAGATTCAAATGACTTAGATACAGGTCTGAGGACTCCTTGAATGTCATCTGCTGAAAAGGGAGTGTTTGCTCAGAAAGGGACAGCTTCATTTACGTGGACATGGATTTGTCCCACACTGGGACTGATATTTGGGATAAAGGAAAAAAGCAGCATAAAAAACAAAGGGATCAGGCAGTGTCTCAAGTGAGTTTGTATTGGGAAGACAGTTACCCTACTCTAATGAAAAATGTTGAGAATATATATATATATTTGTAAACCAGATAAAGAAAAGCACTTGTTAGCCTGGCTAGCCTATGTGCAACACAGCTCTACTGTTACCCAGAAGGGAAAATTTTGGTGATAATTCAGAAAATGATGATCCTGCCAGAGCAAGTAGCCAGAGTCAAAAATAAGCTCTGGTGATCAGCAGTACCTAGAAAACCTCTTTAGTGTGTGGCAAGATAGTGGGTAGCTGGTCTATACCTTGAGAGCTCCCAGTAGGCCTGTGACATGAGGCACATGAGACCCAGAAAGACACGACATATAGATAGACCAAAGCATATATTGCTTGGTACAGGTGTTGCTCAGAATGGCTGTAAGACAAACTCCAGCGTTCAAGGGGTGGGAAAAGAGATGCCTGGGAAAGAGACTCTGAAGGTTTGTTAGACTTAGGCTGTATCACAGGGTATCTAGAGGAGTTATTGTTCATTAGTGGTTTAAAGGTTTTGAAACAATTTCTTGACAGCTGGTTTTAGTCTCCAGTTCGTTTTACAAGTGTCCTACAATTTTGATTGTGTTTTTCCATTTTTGGTTCGTATTTCTGGTGTTTTGTTTGTTGAAGAAATGATTAGGGACCTACCTGAAGCCTCTTGCAAACATTGAAAGAAAAGACACAAAGAAAGAAGGAGTTTGTGCAGACAAGGTAGCAGAGACAAAAGGATTCACATACAGGAAAAAAAAAATAGAATCATATTAGGATGAAGTAAAATAGTCTTGAAGTTATACCTATCCTGAAAGACAGACACACTTCTTGATCATTATAATCATAATGACAAGTATTGGAAACCAGCAAGTTTGACATGACTGCTTACGGGTAAGAGCTTATATTTCAATTGCTGCAGTCTCAGGGCTCTTCTCATGTTCATAGGTAAGTTTAACACAGGCAGTTGAAGCATTTGTTGGTCTTGCAGCAGAAGAGGATGTTACTCAGAGCAGCCATGGTTTACAGGCCCACTAGTAAACATAAACCACCATCAATTTCAGCTTATGCTCACATGACATTTCCTATAAATACTGGCAACTCAGAAGATGTGCAGTTGTGTGGTTGACCTTTCTACAAGGGTTCAACCTTTAAGAAATACTTGAGATCGTAACCACTCCAACCATCCCACACCAATGAACATGAGTCAGAACCTTTAGGAAGAAACCCTCTGATGTGGAGACCAGCGCCTCTGAGTGTACACTACACAGCACCAAGAGCACGGGGCTTTCCTCTAAATGGGGCAGCCAGAACACTAGGGAGAAACATCCTTGTTAGGATCAAATACAGCAACATGTTGCTACCAACCACAGTTTAAGGAAAAGCATTGGTCATGTTCCCTTTACTCTTGTATCAGTACCATTTACTGTTTAAAATTGCTGTTGAAAAATTGAAGCTGTAGATTCAAGATGGAAAAGTAAAGTAAATCTTACGTGTTCAAGAAGTGAAATGGCACGTAGAGAAAGTAACATGCCTGACTACCAGCAACAGTATGAGCTACACACAACGGCTTTTATCAAAAGGCAAGTGAAAAGATAGTGAAGGTCTTAATGTTAAGCTGCTAGGGAATCCAAATGGTAGCTAAAATTGCAACCACCAGTGGCTAAGAGCTTCAATAAACTCAGGATGACATGAATAATGCAGCAGGAAGGAAGCAATGAGATGAAAGTACGATATTGTAAATAAGCTCTCCAGGCAAGCAGAAAGCTGCACAGGCCCCTGGACAAGGCTGGGAAAGTGAGAAGGAATTTTGTTCATCTAGGGATTAGTTACTGGCCCTGTCCACAGAGCAGGCATCTCACTTTGACCTTTGCTTTACATAATATTTGTCCAGTTTTAGCATCTCACACTGCTGTCCCATCACTGGAGCATGTGAGATAAAAGCAAAGTGTTCAGTGGACTATGACTTGCCTGATTGTCCTCCATTCAATGCTCCTGTTTGGGTCATGGCTTTGAGGACACTGGTAAACTGCACTATTCACACTTCTGAGGTGGGAAGTGTGTTTTAGGAGCACTGCAGGATCTACAGGCAGCAGAGTAGAAGTCAACTCTCCAAGCTCCCCAGCCTTAGGGCACTAACAAGTCTAGGGGTTTCAGGTGTATTTACCTCATCACCATTATACCTGCTTAGACATGTACAAGAGCCTAATCCTGCTCCCCATGCACCTGCAGTCAGTGGTGACCCCTGCTAACATTAATGCACTGACAGTCAGCCCTAGATAGGACCAGTAGTGTGAGGAACACCGAGGTCACCCAGACTGACCCTGTCACACCGAGTACCTGCAGTGAGTGTAACCACAAAGTGTGTGGTAGCCCTTGTAGTTTCTCCTTGCACTGGAGGTCTGGCTTGTCAGATGAGGAAGGAGTAACTGTTGTCAGTGCAACTGAAAGCAAGTGACCAGCCTGACACGATGACAGTTACACTCCCAGAAACAGTGTGATTTACTTTGACATCTCCAGATTAACATACTTCACTCTTCCCTTCCTTCTGGCTTTTTTTTTCTTTCTTTTTTTTCGCTTAAGCCTAAACTCTATAAAGGTCACGAATAATGACTGCAATCCAAGCTAAAGTGCAATAAATTCCACGTTTGACAAGAAAGAGAACCACAGAAAATTTTTACCTAAAAGAAAAACAAGACATTCACTTGAGAGGAGGTAAAGAACAACATCCGTAACATGAGTGGCACCATATTTTCTCTGGTGGTTTGAAACCAAGTTACACTGATAGAGATACTATCTCTGTCATCAGTAATATTGCGTTAACCTATTTGTCAGTATAATTTTTTAACTAATATCTCATTTGCAAAGACATACATAAGAATTAGTGCAATACGTTAACCTTACGCTAAAACAAAAAAGCCTCTACAGCTGCGAGCCTCACTGAACCAATCTCGTGCTGGCTTCAATGGGACTTTGTCTGTGTCCGGATGCCTCAATATTCATGTTTTCATGGGCAGAGAGAGGAAAGCAATGCTCCATGGTGAAAATCCTCTTTCCACACATGGATGAAACGATTTAATCGTAGGTTAATCATGGACAGAGAGTCAAATAGGAATCAGATACGGGATAATGCTGGAAAAGTCCCTGTGTTGGAGTAGCAAGGACTTGAGGAAAGAGGGAGTTATTTTTCTCTGTATTAGAGAAGATATTTTGAACACGTTGCATCTAACAAGTTCTCTATTATCATAATGTCTTTGGGCAGTGTGCTGGCCTCTTCACACAGCTTAATCAAACAAAAATAATGGTGCTCAGTATAAGCGTATCTAGGTGAAACCTAATGACCTAAGATATACAAGGTTTCTAAGCAAGTGACACGAATTCTCCATTCTGGCCTTTCCCTCTCCAATTTTAAAGGCAGCCAAGACCATTATTTTCACTTAGTACCCAACAGACCACAAAACAACACTCATTAATTTGATAATCCATCTAGCTAGAGCGCATCTTTTCCAGAAATAGTCAGTTACGATGCAAAAACCTTTATGATAGAGACAAGAAGATAAAATGTTTCAGGTCTTTACCGTTAAACCCCAATGCAATTGCCAGCATCAAGGCATAGAGAGAGTACTGAGCCCCCAGAGAAAGCTAAGGCCTGTCTCTCTCTTCAGAGATTATAAACAGAGACCTAAACTCAAAGTCAGGAAAGTGAACATGTGCCTTCCCACTGATTTTGGAAAGCTTTGCTACAGCTTCACCTCAGTGGTCCCAACTTACTCAAATCTTCATGTGTCACTGACATAGTGAGACTGTCACTACGTAAAGAAAACTTAGACCACAAGACTCACTCTTAAGAACTAACGGACACATGTCCGGAATAATCCACTATGCTAAAGCGATACAACATATAAGAAAAGTAGCTGAAATCAAGACTCCTAGGTTTTACACTTTCTTTCTAGTTCACATACAGAAATTGGCCTACCTGGCTGTTCTGTGTCTCCTTTTCTATCTTGAGCTGTTTGTCAAGACAAGCATGAAGGAATTTTTCAGCACCATTCAAAAAGGTGCAGATTCTTTGAAAATCGCCAGGTGGTTATTCAACAGTGAATGCCAAGCTTCCTCCAAGCCCAGCTGCAAAGGTAGCCAGGGAACACCACGCTTTTCGGGATCGGGAGGCAAACGCAGGCTGGGATACACTGAGTGCGCTCCTCACGTCCCAGAAGTTACAGGATGTCTCGGTGTGCTTCACGTGCTCAATAAAAGCTGCAAGAGAAAAGGCAAAGTTCCTGACTGTGGGTGGAACATGGCACTGCGTAGCACTGAGTAAATAAAAAGCATTGATTCTTGGACTCCTGTATGGCATCGGGTAGTAGTGAGGAATATATCATAAACATGACTCTCATCCAGAAGAAATACTTCCCGCATAGCCTACTTCTGCACGCTGTTAACAGCAGCTACTGATGCAAAGATATCCTCAACTTTTTGCAATCGACAGATAGATTTTTTTGGACAGCCCTCAAGCACAAAGCATATTCTTTCCCAAAGGTCAGATATTAATTATCTACTATAAGGACTAAAACATAATTAGTATCTAAGCAGCAATCCATTATTTTAGGTTTTTATGGCACTGAATACAACAGGACCCTGATTCAGACTTCTGGCTGCCATCGTAATGCTGATAAAACATAGAAGTTCAGCTTTTGATTCTACTTTATTTAATTCAATGCTCTCTTCAGCCAAAAAAGAAGTTTTCAAAAAGAATTCCGAGAGAGAGGAGAGCCAGAGCTAATAAAAAAAAAATGCCTAAGTACAACTACGATAAGCTGCCGTATGAAAACCTAAGTTTTTTAAAAATCCTACTAATTGTATGTGCCAAGGCATGGTAGCATTCCAGATTTCCCTGTTCAGTAATACAAGCTTCCAATGCTAATTCACAAGCTTTGATTTGAACTGGTAGGCATTTTTATCACCTGCTTTAGGTTTGATGACATATTCTGGCTGAAAAATTCAGAATTACTGTCAGGTTAAATAAGAGACTTTTTTTAAAAAAGAAACAGATTTTTTTTTCTTACTTTCCTTGCAGCCTGCCAAGTTACTGAAGTAGAAGGCTTTTAAAAATGTAATTCAGACCTCCTTGATCATCTTCTCTGGATTTTGTTGCAGAGAGGCTGTTTGTTTTCAGGTAGTCAGTCCCACCTCTGTTTATATCTTATTTCGAATAAAATTTATTCCTTTATTTTCAGTACATAGATAGGTTTATAAACAGTGAAAGCTTCCTGCTTCATTTCCATTTCTTCCATTAGGTAATGCGGCATGGCTATGACTAACAGGATCATGTGAACATCTGGATAAGGAAGGATAGACATTGAAATGAAAGTCGGATCCATTTTCACATCTGTGGCAGATTATGGGCCAGTCTGTTAATACTGTTGCACTTTATTTTCTTATTCACAAAAGGGAGTAAAAATTGTTCACTCCCTGAAGGGATAGAGTAGGATACATTAGTAAGAACTATGAGGCATGTAGAGTCAAGGACATCTCAGTGCAAGAAAATTGCTGTTATATATAACAAAGGTCTAGGTTATCCTAAAGCCCTGGTAAAGCTTGTTGAAGAAAACAATCGGGAATCTCACCTTTTTGGGGGGATGAAGTGAACAGCTTTTTCCTGCTCACTTTCCAATTCTTGTGTAGGTTTGTGATCAAACCAGAAAACAGAAAGAATCTCTTCTCAAACAGAAGAATCTCTTCTTAAGGAAAAATAAAGGTGTCACAAAAACACTTCAGGATTCGGGTTTAATATCAACAGTAATATAAAATACTCTGTGCCAGCATTTTGACAACTATGAGTCAGTATGCTGGTAGGAAAACTCTTATATAGACTTGTAATCATTCTTGGAAGATATGCAAAATTATAATTCTTTCCTGTCTTTGATGTTTCAGTCACTAAAATAACTTAAAATTAATAACAGCTAATAATTTGGGACTAAAACTAGAGTTTGAGATTAGACCTTTCCAAGCATGAGAATCAAAGTCCTGTGTTTGGAGTTTTAAAACTATTTTTTAAAAATCATGTAATATTTAAAGGGAAAGGAAAGCCTACATGCTGCTGCCTAATGAAAAATCATTTTGCAAGAGTTGCCACAGACTGCTGTTCCTTCAATCTCCCCTTTTTTCCCAAAAAGTTCTCTTGCAGAAGAGATCTTTCAAAAGTTGTTTCCCTTTATACAAAATACAACAAAACTGGAAAGGGTTTCTCCTCTCTTCTAAACTGTTTACAGTTCTACATGGTAGATAGTACTGAAAGGCCATTTTCCATTCAGAGTCATTGTTTGCACAAACTGACTCTCCTCCTCCGTCCCAGTTTCTGCTTTACAAGTATCTTTCTATGTTGTGGCCTTCTCTATAGCAGTAACATTCAGCTTCTAGAGAGGGTCCAGCGTAGAGCCACAAAGATGATGAAGGGACTGGAGCATTTGTCATATGAGGAAAGACTAAGCAAGCTGGGCCTGTTTAGTCTGGAGAAGAGAAGGCTGAGAGGAGATTTGATCAACATGTTCAAGTCCCTGAGGGGTGATTGTAGGGAGGATGGGCCAGGCTCTTCTCCGTGTTTGCCCGTGACAGAACAAGGGGTAACGGGTGTAAGTTGGAACACAGGAAGTTCCACCTCCATAGGAGGAAGAACTTCTTTACTGTGAGGGTGACAGAGGCCTGGAACAGACTACCCAGAGAGGTTGTGGAGTCTCCTTCTCTGGAGATCTTCCAAACCTGCCTGGATGCCACCCTGTGCCATGTGCTCTAGATGTCCCTGCCAGAGCAGGGGGATTGGACTAGATGATCTCTAGAGGTCCCTTCCAGCCTCAACCATTCTGTGATACTTACTGTGAACATGCTAGGAAAGACGCAGGGCAAAGGCCACATCTCTAATGATTTTCCAGGGAAAAAATAATCACATAATGACTGATGGATATGAAAACAGAAGAAAATGAGATTTAAAGACATTGTCTTCAACAGGGAAGCTCTTGTTTGCTTCCATCTTCTGAAGAGGAAATGATTCAGAAAATATACGTATGTATTTGTCTGTGTTTTCAACTGGATCAATTCCTTCACCTAACTCATGGCGACAGTGACACAAACAACACCGGCCCAACATGAGTAGTGACAACACGGTGGAGCGGGCCTGGTTAGGCCCATTCGTAGTTACTGCAAGGCCTGGGGAGCCACCAACTTACCTTTTTTACACAGATACTTTCAGCAATTGAGTTTAAAACATGGCTTCACAAACGCTGGCACAACCCATGGGGCTGTGATGCTAACATACGGGAGAGAGAAACTTCTCAAGCCATTTCATTGCTGCAACCAGTATCTCATGGAAGTGTAACTTCACATGTGGAGATAAAAACCAGCAAAAAAAAAATCTCCCATAGGCCCCTATGATATGAGCCAGATAGTGTGTGTTACAGAATAAGGGAGGATGAGAACTGCTGCTGCTGCTGAGTATTCAGCTTGACCATTTACCAACAACCCTGTTTGATGAAGTGTGTTTGCAATAAGGCAGCTTTAACTTGTCTTCAAAGACATGATCCAAATCCCTGGAGGAAACTGCCATGTATATTCAAGACAGCTACCCAAACCCACTTGCAGAATTTAAAAGGCTCCTACTGAGAAATGTGCCAGCAGATGCTTCCTGACATTTAATGCTAAACACCCCATAATGAGGCTATAAACAGCCTTTCACTCCAAAACACATGAAGGAATCACGCAAGACCCCAGGGAGGGAGAGCTCTGCAGAAATGCAGTTACGGGTATGATTAGAATGCAGACTGGCCTCTCTGGCATTGTTAATTCTGGTTTGATTTGTTCTGAGGCATGTCAGATGTTTGTGGCACAAACAGACTTCCCAATGCTTGCACTGTGATCTAAAATAAAAATAAGACATGTAAGTAAAGAACGAGTGTTGCAGGCTGAGTCTAAAAGGAGAACATGGTCATGTAATCATTACAGCCCACTGCTGTCATGAGAGCATCTGACCAAAGTTTCCTTTTTGACTTTTGCAAGTCGTGCAGTTGTCACTTTCCAGTGAATTTTAGGAAGGTTTATGCGCCTACATCCCTTTGGCTCCTGCGAAAAATCTCAGTTTCCCAGCAGTTTGTTAAAATACCACTGACATAACCTCCCAAGTGACAATTTTTAAGCCTTCTGGAGGAACTTAGTAGCTTCAAGCATGATTAAATACTCAGAGAGCAACCTTTCAATTCTCTGAACAATCCTATTAGCTGTTAAATTCAGAGACGTTATTAAAACTAGTATCACTAAAAAGCAAATGATACATCTTTATAAAACATCAGTTAAAGAACAAACTGACAGACAAAATCTGACCTCAGTAAGGGTGAAACCGACCCTTAGAGAGAAACCGAAGGCCAGCTCAGAGGTCATATCGTTAGAGGTATAACAAGGTATGTCAAGGCTCTGAACTGTGGTTCAACTTTACTTTCTCTGTGATTTAATTCACAGTTAACATCATTAACATTACAAGAGTTACTTGGAATTTACACTATAGTAAATTAGAATTTGACCCCAAGCACGTGTGTGAACTCTGCACTGTGTGAACAAGTAAAAGAGCATAAAACGTGTTAAATTCGTAGTCATGTAGTGCACAAAAATGTTTACAACTGGAAACACTTAAGACATTATTGTAAATGATAATCAACACCTCTGTTTAACATAATTCATCCTGAATTAGTCAGACAGCTCTAAAATGTGACAAAATAAATAAATTTATTTTATTATCACACTAATTACAATAAGAATCACTCATGGCAAAATAGTGCATGATTGAGTTCAAGTTCCTATCCCAAAAATGAGCAGTTCTGGCATAAAACTGGAGATGATAGAAACAGAATAAAAAGGAGGCAGGATGCATGTGTAGAGGTCACTACACCAGTATTAAGAAGTTGACACTGTCAGGAAGGGATTTAATTCATGCAGACAGACTCACATGCCACAGTACACATTGTAGGAGAGGAGAAATTTTGGCAAAAGCTTCCCAGGAACGTAAGAGTTGCCACGTTCTCAATGAAGGATTCATATTAACATATTCTCTCAGCAAGACAGACCCTGTAGAGTAGACAAGACT